TCCAGGACACTTGCACTTTTTAGAAAAAGACATGCTTAGAATGTTCGCTCTTAATCCCAGCGTACTGGATGAAAGATGACATATAAAGAACCTTACGAGGAAGGCTGTATTTATGGAGCTGTAGCAGATCCAATTCTTTAGAAATTACTTGAGTCATGTCGAAAAAGAAATTTTACACAAATGCGAAATAAAAAGAATATTATGAAGTCAAGATTTAGCAGGAAACATTCTACTCTAATTAATTTAATCGTCGAAAAATGAAAAAAAGAGAATGGGAATAAATCAGCCACGCTCACGACTTGTGTGACGGAAGAGGCAGCAGCCCATAACTCGGAGCGAGCACGGCTTGTCACGGCGTTTTCACATATCATGTTGTTAAGAACGGTTTGGGGGCGAATTTTGGATATCTTTTAAATTCCACAAACCAGTCAGCAAAACCTACAGACCTAAAAATGATATTTTTGCCTTTTAGTAAAGTTTAATTTTCCTTTGTGATATCTTTTACTTCGAATGCTCTCATAGACACGGTGTAGATTCTATTTTCGCGGGAAAAAGTGCCCTAAAATGTGTCTAAAAATAAACTGGTCCGTAACTAGCCTAGTATGGGAGTTGCTCGCTCTGGGTTATGGGCTCCTGACAGAGGCTAATTTACCTTTTCAATCAATCGCCTGATTTTCTCGGGCGCTTCTTACCAGCTTCCTATAACTTTCTGCTTTGACATTGGCCTTGGTCCGCACAATCATCGAGTGAAAACAATATCTCAGTAAAGCGTGTAACGGTTACGTTAGTAATTCTGCAAAACGTCAATCTGGCAAAAAATGGTAATCAGGCTCTCTTTGACTGACCTTTGTTACTATGCACAATCTTCGCGTCAGCAATCAGTGAACTGGAACCGGGACAAAAAGTCCATGTCCACAAGAAACCGGACATGTTTTAAACAGCATATTTTTATCCGGATTCTTGTAGACGTAGTCTGCCACGCATCCGTTTTTAGTGTCATCAAGCAACGCTCCTCCCCACGGAGAGGCGTTGCGTGATGACACTTAAAACGACTGTGTAGCAAACTAGTGTCGTCGGGGCCTTAAACCACTCTGGAGACCGATTTCAAAACAGTGCGGTTTCGGTGACCGGGTTCAGTGTAGCTTGCGTAGCTGACGGTATTGTGTAGTAGTCGAGTGAGATTTTGCGGCGAGGCCGTCACGAGAGGCGTAAGCCGCGAGAAATGCCTCGTCCCCACTACCTTTTTTTGGATCACGGATCCGCCCCCAAATACGGCCAGCTATGCTGGCTAGATTCACCATGGGTTGGAAAATTTGGTAACCTATGCATCCGAGAAATTTTGGTAGTCACGTGATCGTACTCCCGACCGACCGACCATCCATCCGCACCACAGGCATACCAATATAAAATAACTCAATCGACATGTATGGCAACCCAAATGCAACTCAAGGGTTTATTTGGAATAAAATCGCATGGCCGCCCGGACTTTTAGAAAGAAAAAATAGCAACAACGATGTTATTTGTTATGTTTACATATACTATTTTCCTAGAAAGATGACCTCGCTGATCGAACAGCTGAATGCTGCGTGATAAGCCTTTTAATTATCTTTATTGAAGGTACAAAACCCTTGGATGATAGTACAGTCCGGTTAGTTTAAGATTAAGTCTAGACACCAATTTCCTACTATTTTGGCAACAGAGTTTTACTGAATACTGTTTTTGATCAAGTAACGTACAAATGAGCGATGTTTGAGTGAATCACGCACCTCCGCAGATCAATAACCGCTCTCTTTCTGTTGGAAACGGTTGTGGGTTATTTTGATGATGCTAATGTTTTGTTTTATTTCTTTTAGAATTCTATTGCACAAAAATGTCTCCATTAATACGGACACTCTGTATAGGCAGGAGCCCATATGGGCCCCTGGTATAGGGTGATCTAGGTATAAGCAAAAGAGAATGATGGAAGAGAGCGAATCCTTCTACCACTAGCCACCCACTCAGGCGTTTTTAGGGGAGCTCGTATTTCTTCCCGCCCCTTGTGGGGAGGGCCGAAATACGAGCTCCCCTAAAAAACGCCTGCGTGGCAGGCTATTCTGCCCCATGATAATTACTGTATTTCAAATCTATTATTAGTTCGCACTCAAGCTACCCTGGGTACCAGAGGTTTTTTCTCGCGTGCGACGGGGAGCTTCGTTTCGTCGGCCGCAAGCCGAAGACACGAGCGGCGAAGCCGCTAGAAAATCGGAAACCGCGCATGAAAAGCCTTAGCCTCCCACGCAGGCGTTTTTAGGGGAGCTTGTGGGGAGGGATGAAAAACGAGCTCCCCTAAAAACGCCTGCGTGGGAGGCTAGAAAAGCCTCTGGTGCCCAGGGTACGCTCAAGCTGCCTTTTGTGGCTGTTTTGATATTCCCGTGAGGTCCCGGTGTACTTTAAAGTGAACGCGAAGACACTACGCTGCCAAACATTAAAGCAAACTGTTGTGTCAAAGTTTTTTTCAAGTACTTGATGTGTTTTTTGATCAGTGCATTTCGCTCGTTATTCCCTTATTCTCTCATGGTGCGAAAGAAATTTCTTCGCTAACTCGAGACTACCCGAGATACATTCTTACAAATCAATTAATTTATTGAAAGATTTTTGCAAGTCATTGTTTGATCAATACCCAGACGTTAATGTTTCCCTTGTTCCAGGAACCCATGAGTACTAACACCTAAATTTGTTCTTTTGATTATAAGTTGACCTGGCAAAGCAACGAGCAGCTTCTCCGTCGCACTCACAAACTCGACGCCCACAATTGTCGTTTGATGAAGCTAAGAAATAAAACACAACCAAAAATCAGTATTTCTTATATGACAAACTTACCCTTGTCTAGTTAAACCTATTTACACAAATTCACTGAGAAGAAAGATCATTACTCTGACTCCTGTAGTAGTGTAAATCCCGGGGCGGGGGAGGGGGCACTCCCTTATTTGGCCTAGACGGGTATGTGTCGGTGAACAGGGTATGGTTTTCAGGGTCTTGAGGCAGGGTCTTCAGGGTCTTGAACAGGGTATACAGTGTTGCTGTTTATTAGTGCCTTGAATAGCCGGAAGCCTCAAAAAGAGCGTGAGGATTGGTGATGCAAGGCCTACATGAGTAGTACCACAATGTTTGCTTGTTTTTAAACCTAATTACAAGAAATGCTTAATTCACTGGGCGATATAAAATGAATCAGGGTCACGAAACAGGGTAGCGAAATCATCATAAACGATTTTTGTCAGGATCTGGGTTTAAGGGGAGAGTCTGGTTAAAATTTAGGGGAAATAATGTTGATTTAGGAAGGAAATACATGAGGGTAGAATAGCTATACACATAAACCAGTTAGTCCGCTAATGGGATCAGAGGCACCTTGTTGTGGTGGTGGAATCTGGTAATTGTCGACTAATCATTCACTTCATATTTCAATTTTTAACAGCCCCCAAATCCAATAATTTTCTTTTTCACCAAATTTCAAACATCTCTCCACCCCCCCCCCCCCCCCCCCTTTCTCCCTTAACAAACCATAAAAAAAATAAAAAAAAAAAAAACAAAAAAAATATAATTATTTTATAAAAAGTAAAAAAAATAGAATTGTGATATCATATTTATTTTCTTTTTTAATTTTCTACACCCCCCCACTCCCCCCCTCTTTCCTTTTAACCAATATAAAAAAACCCCCCCCCCCCCCCCCCCTAGTTTTTACACGTTAAAAACATTCGAAAAATCATCCAAAAATTCACAAATAATTATTGGACTATTTTGAAAAAATGGCTCATATGTCAGTGGTGTAAGCGCACATGTATGTATCTTTGTGGGTTTGTGGCTTTGTCTGATTGGATGTGTGTTACAGGGGCCAATAAGGTTGAAGGTACTATGAGGCACTATGCTAGGAACCAATGAGATTTGGGCTTCTAAACATGACAATTGCTGCGCCATATTGATTCTTCACAATTTTGTCGTCTTTTATCACAGCTAAAGGTGTTTAGAAGCAAAATATTTTAATATCTTTATGATTCAACCTTCGAGGACAGTGATGCAGCTGTTCAAGGGTTCATATCAGTTTAGTGTGGCTGCTGATTCAAGACATTTATAACCTTATTGGGCTATCGCGAACGGCACAACGTAGGTGAATTGTCGGTTTCACCTGCTTCAAAGAGAAGTATTAAAAATCATATTTTTCAAAGGTCTGCAAATGAAATATTAATAATTGGTATTTAGCTGGTGACTTTGACTTGGAATTATGTGTGAACTGATTTTTTAAAGCTGTACCGAGTAAATTAATTCCGTAAACACGCTTTGTAATTATTCGGTATTCCATGAGCCACATTTTCTTAAACGTCTCCAAGAAACCTTCGAGTTTTCCTTCTAATCAACGTTTGGTGAGTTGTTATTTATTGTACTTTATCAATTTGTTTAACTTGCACCAGACAAAGGAAAGTGAATATATAGAATGAGGAACGACTCAGCTGAGCGTTTCGCGTTCTCATTCATGTACAGCAATACCCAGTTTCGTACAAAAATAAAAACAGTCTATATTTTGGATGAAAAAGGTCGATTCATCATTCTTGGTTACACTGAAGCATTCAAAATAGCTCATGCACGTTAAACGTGCCTATGTTTGAACTAGGGACTGTAACTAAATTGAGTCGCTTTTTGATTGGAAGAAATCTGACTAGATATTTAAGAAAAAGGGTGGAAATCAACGAAAAATAATGCTTTTAACCAGACTGCCCCCTTAAATGACTCGGCGACACCCCACTACCCAAACATCCCTGGAGTACCTCCCCCTGGGGATTGTAAATAAGAAACACTGGCAATTTTCCCTAGCTTTTCCTTAAGGGAAGAATTTAAAACCGGCAGTTCATATCAATCCGCGAGGCTTCAATCTGCGCTTACCATGTGCGTTTTACTGCAGTTCAATGACAGTGAAAATTTTAAACTAAGAGAGCTATATATCATATGCTACTCTTCCTTGAAAATATATGCTACAGCCAAAGCTTACCACAGCCAGTGCACCCAGATCGTCGATACCACTTCCATAAGGGACTAAAGAAACAGATTCCTTCTCTGTTTATTTGTTCATAACAGTCATCATGAGTTTTGCAGCATCTAAAACATAGGAATAATAAGATTTGCAAGCAAACTAGGTACAATCAGATTAAAAACTTAAAATTTGGTCTATAAAAATAATCCTATAAACCCTAGAAATGTTTCCTACATGTAACAGCAATTAATCCGATTTTGGCACGTTGAAGTCAAGACGTGACTAGACTGTAACCTCAAGGGGATTATAGAAAAAGGCGTTGCTATTTTTATTAAAGAGACAGGCTTGTCATTAAGAGGCGGGGTAGGGGATTTCCCCCAGCTACTTAGCCTCCCCGCAGACGTCCTTTGGGGTTCGTTTGTCACGCATTCATTTCTCCCCACGGACCGTACGTGAATGCGTGACAAACGAACCCCAAAGGACGTCTGCGGGGAGGCTACCAGCTACTAAGAACGTGGCCCCCAGCTACAGAAAAAAAAAAAAATAGAACCAAAAGAAATCCCCAGCTGTTTGATTCCCCGCCTACTTGTTGTATTTACCCGGTAACTTTAAATCAGCCTTGAGAGAATAAACCTTGAACTTGAACGATAACCACGACATTGCTTAAACTCGCACCTATACCCGTCTGCTATCAAGTTTTTACTAAGCTGCTCCGTGCGCAAATCCTTCGATCTTTCACCGATTTTGAAGACAAAATTTATGATTTACTTGTTTGACGAGAGGAAAGATCCCTTTACCAGACATGGCTCCTCACCCAGCTAAAAATGAAACCCTTGAATTTACCTCTAGGTTACTTTAAATCGGCAAATTTGTCATATTATTATCAATGGAAGGGCCGGGTAGAATGTGATGGAATAGGGGTGAGGAACAGGTATGAGGGAAGAGCAGGCGATTACTGGAAAGTGTAAACCTCCCTGTTCGATACCCTGACCTCCACTGCTCACCCCATATCCCCTGCTCTGACATCTCGACGCTCTGTACCTGTCTGTATCGTCCACAGCGATACCACTTCCTCCCAAACCACAATAACAGCCGTATGGCAGGTACGCCCAAAAGCTGCGGCCTGTGGCACAGCTTATCATTTTTCTAAATTGAAACACCACGTTTCTCTTCTTTCTCTTGACATTTTGAGCTGAAGTATTTAAAGAATAATAACATTAATAACACCTTACCAGGATGACGATACTCAGAAAATGTTTTACGGAGGAAAGCCTTTATCGAGAGAAATTTGTTAGAAATACTCCGCCCTTGTTTTGCTGCTTATAGGACTATACCTCTCGGCCATTTGGCGCTTCTATTGTTCTTTATTGCGTATATGGAAGAGTACGTTATTGAACTGCGGTTTTTAGCTATCGGGGAGACTGTTTTTGGTTAAACTTCCGTTTGACGCAAAGAAATTTGAACAAGGCCACCTCGGCTATGGATCTTTGGAGTTTAAAAGAACATATTCTAGACTGTTTTTTAGTACTCTAAAAACAAAGACAACATTTAACTTGGTGTACCTACTTTCGTCATGATTGAAAGAGCCTCCAAAACAAAATGATCCAGTCAAAAAAGTAAGCAGCAAAATAATCTTGACTTCTTGAGAGAGCAACATTGCTTGTGTGGTTGCCCTAACTTCATTGGGCTCGTCCAAGATTCAAGATACGTTTTCCTCCTTGAGGAATTGAATTTGCGGGCTTTTTGAAGCAGTGATTAATCGAACTGAAACTTACACTTGCGTTTTGACATTTTAGTGGGATTTGATGGCAGCTCGTGTTTACTTCCGATCGTCTTAGCAATGGGGGAAAAAAAACTACCCGCAATTTTTTTCTTTGGCGTCCTTGCTGATGCAACTGATATCACAGATATTTTGATCTTGAAAGTTACGTAACAGGTCAACACGCGCGGACGTTAGTTTAGTTGTATGAAATGTACTACGGCTGTCTGTCTCTCACTTACTAAAAACGCACGAAGGATCGGAAAGTTTTAGGTGGTTTTTTCGCTAAAGGATGTCTGGTATGTCGAGTAGTCTTTTGGGCACTTAGATAAAATAGTTCCGCTGTTGAAAGCCAAAACTGAAGAAACTCATTTGTTCTTTTGTTAGAAACTTCAATTCCAAAACTCTCTATTCCTCTCAGAAAGATATAGTATCTTTAAAGCAACCTCCTGGCGCCTATATGTCTTAAAGCTTTAATTTGCTTGTTATATTTGTGACAAAGTTTGTATTTTTTTTTTAAGTTTTTGTATTTTAGATAACTCATTAGTTTATAAAACTATATAAATATTGTTTGTTTTATTCGCAGATCTTTTATATTTTTTTTATATAATTATGTATTACTAGTTTAACACATCCCTCTGCAAAAGACCCAGTGAAACCTTACCCAGTGATAATTTAGCTTTCTCGGTATCTGGCAAATAGTTTGTTTGTATGTAGTTTCATTTCCGTGGTCTAAAATTATGTCAGTTTCGTAATCGGCTTAAAATAAAGCTCGTCACGGTCTTTTATATGTGAAAATTAAGAAGCAAGAAATCATCGCCACAATTACGTATGATGAAGCACCCTTCAGAGGACAGTCAGCTTGGCAGTTTAACAAGAATAGTAACCAAAAAGTTGAGGAGAAGTTATTCCTTTTTTCCTTGCATGTGAACTTTGAAACCCTACAGACTTAGCTCTTCACTTTTTTGCTTCCTGCTCCACTCAGGCGGAAAACAATTCGAAACAATCGGGGCTAAAATCCGCTAAAATGTAATACGATTTCTTTTAACTTAATTTTTTATATCAAAATTCGTCCAATACTTTCAGTTTAGAAATGACTGACTGACTGACTAAATGTATGAATGAATGAATGAACGAATGAGCGAACGAACGAATAAACAAACGAACGAACGGAAGGAAGGAATAAATAGCTTACTTCCCAAGGCAAAAACCGAATATCAATTGCCGAACAATTCATACAGTCAAAATAAAAAGCGTTCAAATTAGTGCGGGAATTGTCAGCTGTAGTTCTGACATCGTCAGTAAGTGAATTCGTCGACACTTACGAAATTGTTCTTATAAGTCCTTTAAGTGAACGTGTTTTTGCCCATCCCGTGCTAATGACCCCGGCTAAGCGATCCAACACAGAGTTTTGTGACATGTAAGATGCTGAAGATGCATGACGTTCCATCAAACATTTGGGAGAGTTTGGAGACATGTTGACCAAGCGCGTTAAGCCGGCTTTCCATCAATGTTCCACTTCCTCATTCTTTAGCGTTGTTGATAAATACTTTGCACAGATAATCAAATAAAATTAGTCTGCTTGATCGATGGTTTCCTTTTTAAGACGTACAAGCTAAGACTTGCTCGTGATGCGCAAGGCAGATGCGCAGTAGTAAAGGAGGCACAGTTCTAAAAGGGGCACTGCCACAACATTTATGTACCTGGCCCAAGTGACTTAAGCCGTTGAGGTGGGGGAATAGGGAATTTCCGAGGAGTCTTTTAATTCAGGTGTGTTCCGTGACTCGTAGTGGTTACAAATCGAAACCTGACACTGTTTTCATAACCCCAAAACGGAAAAATGACATTTATATGCTATTTTTAAAGGGGAAAAATCGATAAAGAAAATTTGTTTGAACAAGTCCTTTTCCATTTTGTCCAAGAGTGTTCTGTGTATGGGCAAAGGCACTAAGCAGACTTTAGCAAAGAATTGACCTCACGAAGCCATATCCTCGTAAAATAGCCCATGCTCTGCGGCATTTATAATAAGGACGCATTTTGTAACTAAGGCGCGGTTCAGACGCCGAACTTTTCATGGGCCGAACCTAATATATTGAATTAAGTACATGAAAAGTTCGGTGTAGGAATCAATTAGAAACGCCTGTTTTAATTTGGAACGGCTCAGCCGTTCTTTTCGCCTAGCCCGGCCGGGAATTTCGCCTTTGGAGCGACTTAGGAACGGCTTTGATTCAGACGTCGAACTTTTCATGTACCGAGCCTAATGCATACGTTATTACCGGGGCCTAGCCGAAGGCTGGCACCGGTCATAAAATGCAACGCGTTTCTGTCTTTTCAAAGTTACATTGTTAGGGATATTTTTGGGAACGACACGTTCCCCAACCTTTACGATGTACTAGTTTATGAGCGAAAACTTGAGAGTGAATATTGGGAGAGACAAATTTACGAGCGATCGCTTAAGAGTGAACCTTCCATCATGAAATTTATCGAGAATCAATGCGAACTCTTATCAAAGCTAACTTTATATCATCTTAAAAAACGTGCTACAAGGTGATCTAGACGCTTTAACTAATGAAAAACCAGAAAAGACTGTTTCACATAACCTTCGTCACGCAATATTTACGTTAGCGACATGCGAAAACTCTCAACTGTTCAAAATGGGGGATTCCCTAACATTTTCTCTTTTCACATTGTTCATTACACCTTGTTTTCATTTCTAAAGAATATTTGCAATAAAAAAGATTTTCATGCCGCCCGACAAACTTGTTGATGAAAACGACCCTTCCCCGTGGGTTGCCAAGACAAAAGTGGCCCCGGTAAAATTCACGAAGTGATTGTTGTTATAACATATTTTGAAGGCAGTTGAACCGAAATGAGCTTTCTTCGCTTTTTGAACTTAGTTCAGCGGCAATTAAGATCTTAAGTCTGAATAAATTCAGTCGGTCTTAATAATTTGGGTCGGCCTTGATTCGAATTAGGTTCGGCTCATGAAAAGTTCGGCGTCTGAACCGCGCCTAAGATTGCGGTATTTTGCGTAACGACGAACCGCGCGAAATGCCGCCTAAAAGTCGCTGCATGCAAGGGAATACAAGACAGTCATAAATTCCGGATTCCAGTACTGGATTCCGGATTCCTAAAGCCCAGGATTTTGGATTCACAGCAAAAATTTGCTAGATTCCGTATTCCACAAGCGAAGAGTTCCAGGTTTCCTGAATCAGTCTGAATCCGAATTCCCTTGCCTGGAGTGATAGAAGAGTTAGCCGTGAACGGCTATTCAGATTTCATTACAAAATTCAAATGCAATTTCTTTCTGTGAATCAAATGCAGGAAACACGGGCCAGCCTTAAACAATCAAGCTCTGGAATTTTGCGTGCGTCAAAAACTTACTGGAAAAAGTCAGGTGTTGGAAGTTTATTAATACCTAGAGAGAACTAGAACATTCTTTTTTCTTTAGAAAGTCTTATAAGTAAGCCAGTTCATTTTTCATGAAATTTGACTATTTAGTTACACATTGATAACTAGTAATAGTTGACACTACAGCTGCCCCCGCTCTGTATATAGTATTCTTGCTCCTTGTGTAGCTCTTTGAAATAGGCCGATTCATAATGAAGATGTTCACACATATTCCATACAATAGGTGAGATAAATATAGGAAATAAACGCAAGGTTCCATCCGGGGGTTCCATGCACAGTTTCGGTTCGATTTACACAACTTGGATCAAAACATAATCATTCTCAGTTTCAAGAATAGTTTATTCTAAACCATAAGAAAAGATTGAATAAGAAGTTTAATTTTTCGCTATTCTATTTCACTTTTTACATTTAGTTCATTTCATTTGCTGGAAAGTAAGCCTTAGAAATTAAAAGGACGTTTGATCAATTCACGCTCGCGCATTCTAGTCTTATTTTAAAATTTATAGCGGAAGGACATCTGTGAGCAGGGAATAAGTCAGCACAGAATTTGATGGTCGCAAATTTCTGTAACCGTCCATCGTTCTGCTAGTGATAAGCTGGCCTTTGAATTATTCGCTCGTCTTGCTTGTTTTGGGCCGAGTCTTATATATTCCGGTCAAAGTGAGAGAAAGAGGTTCACCTGAAGGTTTCCAATCAAAGATTTGTGAACTCGTGTCTGGCAAACTCACTTAGTGTTAAAATATACACTGTTCTACGCATCTTCTGGGCGAAATCCCTGCGGGGACAATAACCTTGCAACATACATCCAAGATTGAGCAAAATAAAGTGACTCAAGAGGAGTGAAAAAAATCATAAGAGGCTAAAGAAAAATAGCCTGCTACGTTAGCCAGCTAAGCTACCAGCTACCCTAACCGAAGATCGATGCTAAAGAAGTTATCCACATTATACTATAAAAGCAGCTGACTAAAGTCATGTACAGCTGTAGTTGTAGAGCACACTTTTTCATTCACCTTCACATGTATATGTCATTGCACCATTGCGTTACTCTCTGGAAATGTAAAAAAATCCAAATACCACCTTGACATCGTCATTTTCCTTCACTCTGAGCATCTTCTGATAATCGTTTAGTTTGTGGGTTGGCGTCACTTGCCAGGCGAAAGCCAAGATTTCCCCGTGGTCGCACGTCCTTGCGATTCCTAAAGACACAAAAATAACCGCCCATGAATTTCTAACGAAGAGAAGATTAAAAAAAACTAGAAATGCAATCGTTATAGTTTTCTTACGATGACAAGTTACCCTATTTTTTACAACTGGAATTACAACTGTCTCCGCAGTGGCCTTTGCACGAACATCCTCTGTTACCTCTGCGCTTCGTGCTGAAAGAGCTCTTACAACTACATCCTTGTGATCTTACCTAACGATGAGAGTTCGATTTGGCACGTTCTAAATGTCAAAGTAAAGAAATCGAGGACATTCCAAGCACAACA